TGAAAAAGATGTGGTATTTTTATACAATGGAGTACTACTCAGCTATAAAGAAAAAATAAACTCAAAGCCTTCATATATAAGTGGATGCAACTTGAAGATAGGTGAAATAAACCAGATTCATATGTGTTAATACCATATTGTCTCCCTAGTGTAAGAACTCAAAAGAAGAAATAAAAATTGAAAGGTATAACATATTTAAATGGAAAGCAAGAATTTAAGGATTAAACAATGAAGAGAACGTAGAAAAATTAGCAAATATGACAGGGGCAAAACCATACATTTATATAAACAAGATGGTTAAGATAATGGTCCTTTGAATATACATCAGGTTTTTGAAAATAGCAGTTAATGGGTAGAACTCTCACCCTGACTAACTCCGCATGCTGATATCTGTGCAGTAAGCAACGACACTGAGGATAGCAATGTGTAACACTAAAACCATGCTTAAATACCTATCATTTTGGTCTTCTAAATATGTACTGCTTCTAACACTATATCAATTATTGCTATACTCTCTTTAAAGTAAATGTTTATAAAAAAAAAAAGATAGTAAAACAAGAGAAGAAAAGAATGTCATACGATTGTTCCACTACAATGTTACATATGGTTGGATTTCTAAATTTGTGTAAAAATGTATAATTTTTTTCACATTCTATAGGGATTTAAAGTCTAAAATATCCATGGTTGTTGGAAAATACCTGTTCCATGTTATGTCTAAGGCGTTTGATATTCAGACAGATAGTGATGTTAAGCTCAACTGCCTCTGTTACAGGGTAATATCATTAAGCTTCTCTTCCGTATGGTTAGCAACTAAAGTTTGCAGACCAAAAATGAGAGAAATAGAGGGGCTACAAGGATAGCCAATATTTTGGCCCTAGCCCTTCAAGGTCAGTGAGGACTCAGGACATAAGAGAACCATCCTGCAACTCAGTGGTCTCCCAAATTTTCTGTTCAAGGAGATCATGGGGCCAAGAGCAAAGTGATTTACAATGTTTAGTGGGCCTAAGGAGTCACCTAGAGAGAAAACATTCTCTTAGGCTTTCATAGAGAGCAAATTAGTCAAGCAATGGCCATGAGTCATCTAGATGGCTGACACTGACAAAAGATCTACAAGCTGCTACATGGTTTAAGGATAAATCCTGAGGGGTTTTGACTGACTTTGTCAGATACAAAAGTTACATTTTTTGTTATATAGGTCTTGCTTTATCTTGGTCTTAACCATCCAGCAGAAAAGTATAACCACGTGGTATAAAAAGTAACGCCAGGCTGGGGAGATACCTCAGTAGAATAAACACTTGCCTTGCAAGCACAAGGGCCTGAGTTCAATCCCTTGTTCTGGGAAAAAAAAAAAAAGTAATGCCATATAAATTTGCTGAGCTCTAAAAGGCTCAAGTCAGCAACTCCTGACAATTGCCAGTTCTGTGTATAACCCACTACTATTATGGACTATTGGGCTATATTGGGTTATTTTGTTGAATTCAAGCTCCTTGTTTAAAGACTTCTCCAAATACAGCTTCTCTAAGAGCAATGGAACACCCATGTCTGACAAAACAAGACAAAAAAGGATATATAAGTGACCATTTTGCAGTGAAAAAAATATATATATATAATATATAAAATAATTAGGATATACACCTTTCTCTTAGTTCAATGAGGTTTGTACTAATATTGCTTAGACAAGATATCATGTCTGTATCTTGTACTCCACTCCAAAGACAATAATATGCAATGTATTAATTATTGTAACTTTCCTACTAACCTGTTTTGAAACTGTCTCACTGCTATATCTAATTAAAATTAATAAAAAAAATTAAAAAGAAAGTAGACCTAGGGGCCTGGGAGATGGCTCAGTAGAATAAGCATTTCCTTGGCAAGTGCAAGGGCCTGAGATCAATCCCCGGTTCTGCAAAAAAAGAAAGAAAAGAAAGTAGACCTATATACTAATATGAAAACTTAAGAGATATTAGTATTTAGCTTTACTTTCTGGCATTATAGTAAGAAATCCAAAAGAGGATGTATATTGCTGCTCTTCAGGATGAGAGAATAGCTTTTATGCCACTCAGGAGAACCAACTCTCTCTCATAGTGGAGCTCAGCATTTTATCATCTGAGATAGACCTACTTTAAATTTTCTTGGACTACAGAATGAATCCTATGTATAGCCATTGGCAGATCCACTCATTAAGCTTCTTGGAAAACAGAGAATACTTGTCTCAAAGCCTTCAAAAAAAAATCTGATATATTCCTATCCACAAATATTGTAGTACTAAAATATAAATCACTTTGAAGAACTCTGCTTTACCTACTGGTGATTAAGTATGTGTGGTGACAAGCAGTATACACTTACTTAAAAATCTGTATTCAGGGACTGAAGGGTTAAAGGACAAAACTAAGAGTTAAGGCCTATTATGTGTGACACCTGGACTGTACACTAGCTAATGCTTTAACTTGTTTCATCTTTTTCCAACTGTTTGGACTTTTTCTCTTAATTTCTTATACATTTCTTTTTTTCCTTTCTTCTTCCAATTTTACATGCATATATCTGGTAATAACTGGGTGGAAGATAACACTATGTATGTGAAATTCAAATGACTTTAAGTGAAATTCTGTATCACCTGTAATTTTTTTCTGTTTTCATTCAAATTTGTACTCTCTTTAAAAAATAAAAAAAAAATTCCCGGGCCTGCTATGTCAGCCCCATCCCCAGGGTGCGCTGAGAAGGCAACTGAGAATGGGTATGGTAGCGTGTGCCTGTAATCTCAGCTCTTGGGAGGCTGTAAACAGGCGGATCACTATGAGTCCGATCTAGTAGTGAGAGAGAGTTTTCTAGTAGAAAACCCAGTAGACCTTTCCCTAATACACAACAAATAAATAGAAGAAAAGAAAAAGAAAAAAAAAGCCACAAAATTTTCCACTTTGTACTCATCACTCTACCCACTATTACATATATTTATTTATTGGCCACCAACTTGCCCACCAAATTTAAGCTCTAAGAAGGCAGAGAAATTTGTCTGTCTCTTTGAATAGAATGATATATGTAGTAGGTGACCAAAATATATCTTTTGAATAAATGGTCAAGTTTAAAAAACAATCTGTTTCATATTTGTAGAGGCCAGAAATTCAAAATCAGCAGGACCATGGACAACTCTGCAGGCTCTATTGACAAACTTCTTCTTGCTTCTTCCCTGCTTCTGGTGGCTCCCCGCCATGCTCGGTGCCCCTCAACTCATGTCTCTGCTCCATCTCCATACAGCATTCTTTCTGTGTGTGTGTGTCTGTCTGTATATCCTCTCCTCTTTTTCTAATGATAACAGTTATTGAATTTGTACCAGGGATTGAACTCAGGACCCTGTGCTTGCCAGGCAAGCACTTATTTTACTGAGCTAACTCCCCAGCCCCTAAGTTATCTCCCCCACCCCACAGTTATTGAATTTGTCACCCACACTATACCCCCTATTCCAAAGTTCCCATTTCTAAACAAATTTCTGCTGTGAGCCACAAATGTGATTGTTATAGCAGTCCTTGTTAACTAATATATAGTGCATTATACGTTCACTAGCTGAAATACTGTAATTTAAATAAAGTTGATGATAAAAATGAAAAAAAAAATCTGTGAAATAAAAATCAAGTCAACTGCTTAAGAATGAGGAAGTTGCAAAATAAATGGAAATAAACACAAACTATGTGGCTCTGAGAATATTTAACCACTAAAATAATGAAAATGCTGTACGTGGGTTAATACAAAACTTACTCTATAACTAATGAAAAGACAACAGGAATAATGCAAATGTGGTCTCCTAATATAGCCAAAAGGCAATTTCTAAATTCAGTGAATCAATAAACGTAATACTACATATACTTTTGAAAATATGAAGTGAGAAAACAACTTAAAGAGTTATAAATGTTAACAGTAGAGGTCACGAGACTACTGTTTTATTATATACCACACAGATATCAATTGATAAAAATAAAGAAGGCATTTACTTTAAAAAAAAGTCTGTCCTAAGTCTTAAGAAAGCGTGATTGTTGGTAATTCATATCACAGTGACTGCTGCACAATATTCCATAAATATCTGTTGCATGAATGGATGTGTACTATTAAAAACACATACAAAGTAGCTTCTAGATTTCACAATGAAACACATTTTTGCTAAAAGACAAAATGCTTTATAATGACTTTTAAAAATATAAATCACAGGCAAAAATGAAAAACATAATCACTTCTAAATTCTGGCCAGTAAGTATTGAAAGATTTAACATTTACACGGGCAAAATTTCTTCAAGTTTTAGTTAGAAAATAGTTCTTGTTACATTTTTAATAACCTCCTACTGCCACCTAGTGACTGACTACATCTGAGCACGGCCAGGTTAGCAACGGGAAGGCAGCTTTCCATGAAAGCCAACAGATCCACAGCCACCCTTTCATCTCAATTCATCAGCTAAATCCTTAACAAGAACATAAATGCAAGGGAAAAACAGGCAGCAAAGCTAAAGTATTTTATTAATAATTTATTGTCAGTAAGAAAGACTGGCTAATGGCAATTTTCAGTAAAAACCTTTACAAGACCATTGCATCACAAATATACAGACACTATAAAAACTGTGTCATGGTGGTTTTGGTTCTAAACAGGTATGCAGAAGGTCCCCATTACACTTTCCAATAATGAAAAATGTTTAAATTCTAAAATACAGCAACCCATTTAAGACATGTTCATGTATCCCATCTTTCCTCTTCCTATATGTACAGCTAGAAATAAACGATTATATTGAAATGTGTTAATGAAATGTCATACTTCAGTGAAAAAGAACATACAGTGAAACCCTGGTTATATTAAAATCAGGGTGCTAGGTGATGACACTAACACCACCCAAATTCAGCTGAAAATAAATGCACAAAACATCTTGAAATCTAGTTAAGACTATGGAAAAAAATCAAATCTGTACATAAAATTTACAAAAAAAAAAGACAAGAAAATTAAAATAATCAAATCTATATAAATACATAAATCATGCTAACAGGATGGTAGGGCTGATTTTTGTTTATTTTAACACAGACAAATGCAAGTACAAAAGGATGTGCAGGAACAGGACAGCTGATGAAAATCTCACCCAACTGCAGTAGCTTAGGACACTGGAAATGGCTAACATATCAAGAGGCGCGAGATTCAGTGCAGCCATGCCCATTTTAGCTCACCGAAAAGCGCTTAAGCACTGCTGCAAAGAACAATGCAGATTACTTTTATAATCTCTAGGTTTGTTAAAGTCCAGGCACTTTGCGGGGGAGTGTGAGTGTCAGACTTCTGTGTGTTGTTGGGAATCTAGTGGAGGAATCGTCACTTCTTCAAAGTGGGCATCATCTCCACTCTCATAGTCACTCATCATGACCTCAGACTCAACTTCACAGCACGCTGACACATCTGAGCAGGAAGCTGTGGAAGTGTACACGGACATGGGCATGTTTTCTACAGCAGGAACGTCAAAGTTTCTTGGATACCCTGGAGGGTAGGGGACATAAGGTTCTCTACAAGTAATATTTTCACCAGTGCCTTTTTGTTGAGGTTCAGACATATCGACTGGATAGAAATTGGGCAGATACTGATTCAAGTTGAACTTCTGCCGATTTCTGGATGAAGACCCCAAGCTACCCGAGGCAGGCATGTCTCTAGGCGGGTGTATAGACTCAAACTGATCACTGAATTCTGGAGGCAACGGTGGCAGCTCTTCAGAGGCAGGGAAGTCTTCTGGGGGTGGGGGGAAGTCACTTTCAATGTCATAACCTCCAGGGTAATAGTCAGTATCGATGGCATTTGGATCTGCTGAGTACAGGGGAGTGTGCTCGTCAATCACCTCATAATTGGGGAATTCCTGTATGTCTGGCAGAGGGACACTTGGCATCCAATCTGATGTATCCCAGTGATACCCTGGTAGGGAAAGAGAAACAGATTTCAATGCTTTATCCTAAGTTTTCATGCCTTAGAAAAGCTCAGCATACCAAAGAAATAAAGATGCACATGTGTTTTTGTTGAAAGCTCAATACTCAAATTTGCAGTTTTAGTGCACGCCTAACATTTAAGGAAAAGAAGAGTGACAACAGAAGCACTCTGTAGCAGCCAACTCCATGCACAGGTCTGCAGACAAAGCAAATGGCCCTTTCCCTTGGTCTTGGCTCCTACAACTTACTGCACTACACGAAGAAAGTATTAATTCCTTCTTTAGACATTAGTCCATTCAGAAAGGAAATGCCAGGAAATGACTGCTTGTCAGGAAATACTAATTAATAGGACTTGTTAAGATAACTAAAAGTAACCTTTAAATTTGAAATTTAGAAAGTAAGCTTTCTTTACAACAATGTAGTAAGTACAATGTTAAAAGTGGTACTGTTTTCCTTTAACAGAGGCAAGCTGAAAGGCTGTTCACAATTGTCTGTAGAAAAGTGCGTGCAATTCAGACGCTGAGTACAGCTTCTGCTGAAACTCTTCTTTCCTTAAATTTCTACAACACATTATCTTTAGACAGGAATGTTTCAGAGCATGCTTCCAAGCAAAATACAACCAAACATACAACCACTGGAAAACAGAAGCTTTGGATAGACTACAATAATCTTTACTATTTTAAACAGGATCAAGGATCATTTTAGATTGTCTTTTTTAAATTTTTAAAAAAAAAACCCTCCCTGTTTCAGGACAGTTTTTTTTCTTCTTAGGATTTTCAAAATCCTCAACAGGCAGGAAAAGGTTAGTGGAGATGTGCTTCCAATGCAGCGCATAACAACCAGGGCCCTGTCTGCCGCTGCAGACACTGAGTGACAAGCGGAGCAAGTCAGCACCAGGAACGAGCCGTGACCAGATAGTTTTAGTGATTATCAATGAACAACTGGCATGCATAAGTCACCTCTTGATTTGCTGAGGTCAGGAGCAGCCAAAGATTCTTTTGGTGGCCAAGTAGAAAGAAAAGAAAACATTGATAATTAAAACAGACAGCTGAAAAGGCAACCAAGGTAAGCACACAGTACAATGTACATTGTTTGCACAGGCCCAGCCAGCCGTACGGTATGTCTTCGTGCTATTCTCTATAAACATTACAAATGGCTGAGAAACTTCTGCAGTACAAATAAAATGGGATCTGGAAACAAGACACAGATGAACAATGATGAACAACAAGTAGAGACTCTGGGAGGATGCTCAAGTATTTTGTTTTCCCTGTTTCTGACAATTTAGCTTTCAAAACAGTTTTCTTAGGAATAATTAAAACCCACAAGCTCTAATAAAACAGAAATTCATCAGGTGTCTAATATATGTATAATGCAAATACATATACACAATGTACACATACTTCACGGTACATCCTAACTTTCAAAAACACAGAACTCACGAATAAACTTAGGTACTTACAGATACCTATAAGCTAACAGTTCTCCCAACTGAACTAATCTGAACGTGACTGTGTTATTTACAGCTCAGTCTGCCCTAGAGATCAGCAGCCTTGCTTACTGCTTACTCCAATCTGCCCCCGCACATGCTCCTTCAGCGCTCCCTTGGTACACAGCACTCTAGGCACTGAGTCAAAGGAAGTAAACCTCAAGGTCATGAACACTTACTTAGGGAGGTTAAGCTTCAGGCTTTCTCTCTGAAAAGTGGGTGAAAGTCCCTGACTGTCACGAGGATTAAAAAAGATAAATGTAGGGCAAACACTACTAGGTACTACTGATCCCTGTGAAAGTAGCAGCTGTGACAGAAATAGGGGCGCTAGCGATTTCTGTGAGGCCAATGGCTTCGATGCAGTCTAAGATGCCCTTGGACACTCACATAATAAACTGATTTGGAAGACAGCATGTCTGACTGCTGTCTCTCTTAGGAACTTACAAAACTAAAAAGACCAATGGTTCTCAAAAATGAATAAACTAGTATTCAGGAAATATCTGTAAAGTTTTCTTTATATACTAAAAATGTACCATTTCTCTTAAAGTGAAGGTCGGTAACTTTTGTTACTAAACAAGCAGTTGATAAAATTTTAAGCTAACTTTCAACTTTTAAATTCAATTATATATATAACCATTCTTCTCCAGTGGACATCACAATGAAGGAACTATTGGAATTCTGCTTCTTGAACTCCATCAGTATTTAAAATGTTGGACTATCATCACATTAAAACTAAATTTCATTAGTAAAGAAAGCCTTCTGATTTACTCAGCAAAAATATGGTACTTCTTAGGAAAATGGGTAAGATTCATGAGAAACTGTAGCAACAGCAACACTTTTGCCCTGTCTCTCACTATCCAATCTGGTAGAAAAGTATCCTTCTTCTTAGATTTTAACACACCAAATCTTGAGAGCACACGAAACGGCCCCGCTGAGCTTGTGTGTGCACTCTGGATGGCTTATACAAGCAGTTTGTTCTTGAGCTCGGACTCCTACAGTAGGAGTCCCAGGATTAAGTGGGACTCTAAAAAGTGCAAATTCTCAAGGTTCAACGCAGGCCTACTCATTCACAAACTTCAGTGTGGGGAACCAGCAGTCAAACTTTTCAGCCTTCCAGATGCCCTGATTTCTATACACTGCAGTTGGAAAACCACTAGCCTGTGCCTTGGGCTTGGGTTTGGTCTAACAGCAATGAACTAATGAAGGACCAATACGTTACAGGAGTAGTCAATGCCTTTGCTTCTACTTTTGAAGAAATAAAGCTTCATATAAAATGATTTTACTAAATTAAATATGAAAATATACCTTCCTCCACATTCTACCATTTTCTTTGGTCAAAGTCACGAATCAGTTTTAGGTACTTATAAAAGCTTATGATCTTTAGTCTTATTCTTGTTCATTTAGGGTTCTTTGCATTACAAATTTTAGGTAGTTAAAACTGTTGAACTAATTCTTAGCACTGTACCACTTAGAGATTAATTCTTGAGATCCTATAGGTTACTTATAACGTCAGTAATATTATTATGAATGGAAGAGGCTCCCAGAACATACATAGCACACACAGAAATATTTTTGCAATGAACTGGATTATAAATATTCACAACTTCAATGTACTGAGCTTCCCCAAACCACAAGCTAGTTTTTCTAACATTATAGCTGCCAGAAGCACAGTACACTCCAGGGACAGTGACTGCAAAACACAAATACAGAGCGAAAGCATTTGTATGACTATACCTTCTTTGTTCACCGTGTCAACTACACTGCTGACAAGGTGTATTACAGTCACTATGGAAGCTTGCAAAAAGGTACAAAAGGAGTCAATTAGGAAAATCTTAAGTTAGAAAGCAGTACATGAAATAAATATCTTAGTACTATGCAATTTCTGCCCTATAATTTAAAAATGTGAAATTAATGCTTAAATTCAACCATATAATATAATCATGCATGCCCCTGTATCCTATTAGTTATATCTCAGACTTTTCTAATCAAGTTATTGCTATTATTAATAAAAGTAATAAAGTAACCATATTTTACTAGACCAGCATGAATTTTTTTAGCTGTACTATATCTATAATTATAAATATGGATTGTATAAGGATAAAATAATTCTTTCTATGTCTTATAGGCAAATGACCTCACATCCGAAGCTTGTACACTGAGGAGGAAAATTAAGGAAATACATATGCAACACAAATACAAAAATGGTTTGGCTCTGTTTGCTCGCACCCCAAACTTCTTGTCTTTAAGCAGACAGATCAATAGGTGGTGAGGCAATGCTAGCGATGGGTATAAACTATTTGAGTATTTGCTGTATAAATTCCTCTGTCATCTGTGTATTAGTGTTTTAAAGTACACAAGGTAAATGTGTGTGGGCAGGGCAAGCAGAGCGATGCTCTGGAGGCTGCCCACATTCTGACTCTGGGAACCTATGATTATGTTACCATAAAAGGGAGTCACCTTTCAAGGGATATCATTGACAGGATCAAAGTGTTCAGATGGGTAGGAAGAGGAGAGATCTTTCTGAACTCTCTAGGTGAACCAGGTGAGTTGTAAAGGGCATATATATATATATATATTTTTTTTTTTTAAGGGAAGGATCTCTCCTGGTTGTGGTTGGAGGAGCCCACAGATAAATAGTGAAATGAACGTTGCTGACTTTGAAAGATGAAGCCATAGGCCAACAAATGTGGGCTATCTCTAGAACCCGGAAAAGGAGGGAAACATATTTTCACCCCAAAGTTTCCAAGGAGGAATACAATTTTACTGACCCCATGATTTTAGTCTCATGAGACAAGTGGTAAACTAAGTCTCAGAACTACACAATAATGGTTTGTGTTACTCTCAGCTACTAAATTTGTGGCAAACTCTATAAAAGCCTTAAAAAACAATAAAAATGTAAGCACAGATTTTTATCACAGACTTTTACAATTGATTACCCTAATGACGAAAATACAAATACTAATGTAAATGTACTTCCTTGCACTGTATTGGCAAGTATATTAATATTGATTTGACCATAATTTGTTAAAAGTGTTTGAAAGTGGGCTGGCGAGATAGCTCAGCAGTCTAAAGCTTCTGGGGGACCACGGTTTGATCCCCAGCACCAGTCCCAGCCTCAGGGTGGGCTGAGCTGCCCCCCACCCCCCAAAAAAAGTGTTAGGAAGTACCATGGAGAAGAATGTGGTCTCAATAAAAACAACTAGAAAAAGAAAAAACTGACACAGTATCATATGTAACATGCTTATGACTGGAAATGAAAGGAACATACTTTGGGAAAAGGTTCCACACTCCATGGTAGACTCCATCAACTTAAGAACTATCTAGATGTAATGTATTATAAACTGCATTACTCTGAATTATGGGATATATTACTCTGCATCATTATGAATAGTGGGTTATTTCTTTCCACTAGTACAATATCTATAATATGTGAACACATTACATTTTACCCACCCAAATATGGTCAAACCTACAATATCTGAGATTCAAAAATTTCCACTGAAAACCTACTTTACTGTGTTACTGAGTCTTGTCTACAGACAACCAGCTATACTGTTATGTGCTAATAAGGTGAAGCTGGTTATCGATGGAGCTTACTCTAGGGAAAACGGATAAACATACGGGGTATCACGGATCCCACTGTCAAACCTCCTTCATTAGAAATATAATCCAACTTACTAGCAATCTCTTAAACTGCTCTCAGTCAGTACACTCTTATCCAAATGGGAGCTGGGGTCGCAGTGGGGTTGGGGAAGAGACAAATAAAACCTTTTAATACCAAAGGTGCGACTGAAACTGTACATTTTAGACTATCATACCTCTTCTAAGAGGGTGCATGAGTGTGCATCTTACATGATCAAAAAAAATTGTTTGAAGAGTTTCTGACAGTTCCACAAAACTTTTTATAACATTTACTGCTACACAAAAAAGTAGTAATAGGCACAGTCAATTAGATAGAAATTATCTTTCAATTACACTTTCTTTCCTATTACTGATACTTCATTACAGTTAAAAAATCTCTCAAGAATACTTCAAATATATTCCCCCACAGATGTTCAGGCAAATATGAACAAGGTGGCGCTTGATAGTGATCTGAGCGAAATATGGAAACATTTTAAACCTGAATTAGGGGCCCAAGCACATCTACATTAGGATGATGTGAGCAGCAGGGTGCACAACGACCAGCAAGCGCGGCGCTTCGCCCTCTGACACTCACCATTGTCATCACAGGATTCAGACTGGAAGGAGCTGAGGGACTGCACTTCAGACAGGCTCTCCCGGGCGCTGTACGGCTGAGAAGGCTTTTCCTCCAGAGGTTTCTTGGAAAGACAGGGATCAAGATCTACCACTTTAGCTGAAAGAAAGAGATGAGAAGCAAGCAGTAAGCTGCATGTGGCCAGACTCTGGTTCACTGAGGTTGGTTTAATCAACAGGCCAGAGAGGGAGAAGGGAAACAGACAGGGAGAGGGAAGGAGATCATCTCAGTACTCTTAATGCTTTTTCTTCCTCTGGCCACACTTTTTTAAATGCTTCTTTACGTCAATCTTTTACCACAGATGTAGCCAATGATGATTAATTACTTTTTAATAGGACCTAAATTCCAAAATTTCAGTAAAGGTAGTTTTATTGTTTCATCTAGATTATTTTTAAAAATAGTGTGTAGAAATAGTTTCAAACTATGTAAATATATCATACCATGTTATCAAGCCGTTAAATCATAAGCAATTGCCAAGCTGAAAAATTACAAATAATAATTCTGGCTTCAACAGAAATGTGCAGTGTTTTCAAAGCTCTTAACAATTACCCACTAATAGAAATCTCCAAAGCTGAACCTAGAGTCGTAAGATGAGTTTTAGTTATGTGCTTTTAACCTCCTTTTACATTCACTTTACTATATTACTAAGATGTTTATATTCTATATCACAATGGTGCTTTCCAGTATTCACAATTTACAGTTTCAATTTGTACATATATAAGTCATTAACATAAGGGACAGTTCTTACTATTATAAACTACCCCTAAAAAAAAAAAAAAATAACACTCTACACAGAACTCTGAACATGGTAAGAGTTAACATAGGTTAATATAACATGAGTTTTAATACTTTAGTCATTTTCTAAATATCAGCATGTAAACTTGCCTATTTGATATGACAACTACAATTTTATTCACTGAAAAATTATGAATTAATTTCCTTCAATCAGCTTTCCCATCTTAACTTAAACTCTCTTGGACTTACTTTTTCTGACTCAGTGAATTTCAAACTTTTCTGAAAAGGGAACTGAAGAAAGGCAATAAACTGTAAGCAGAAAAAGGATCGCTAATATTCCTTCAAAAATTATTCTCTTCAGGGGCTGGGGAGATGGCTCAGTAGAATAAGCGCTTGCCTGGCAAATGCAAGGGCCTGAGTTCAATCACCAGTTCCGCAAAAAATAA